CTCTTGATACCCGACGAGATGGAGATCTACCCGAGACCTCGCTCTGCATGCAACACGATCCTGATGATTCTTGATTCCATTATGCACATACATGCACTGGGTATTCAGTCGTTCGCAAACACCTGCACGCGAGTCAGAGTGTTGGGGTTGCTCTGTAGGTTGCGGAGGTGCACGTGAGTAGTGGATAAGTACTGGCTGCGATGTCGGGCGATCATACACTTTACTCAGTGATCACCAACGACACAATCAGGTTTCCAAAATCTTCGAACTCTTCACACTGACGCTCGCGCCGGAAAGTTGAGCACTAGCCTGGATTGGCGCTAGCCTTGGTCTTGAGCCTCAGGTAAGATATATCGCACTCGGCGTATCTCCACTCCCCGGATCGCTTGCGAAGGTGGGTTAGGAAGCACAAATCCAGGCGGTTTTGCTCGCACGCTTGCAGTTATTTGTGTGCACGGCTTATCACTACTACTATGTACGACAACCGGTGAGCATATTTGCCATTGTCTCACCTTTAGTATGATCGACTATCTAGTCTCGATCGGCACCCATTCAAAAGCGAGCTCAAGTATACTAGCACGAGAGCTCCAGCCTCGAGCAAATATCGGCACCTAATATTGAATGGTCCTCATCTTGGTAGGCTGTCCCGGAACACACCATCCTGGGATAGACAAGGCACTCTTATCCTCCAGATTGATTTTCCGCTCATACTATATAGTGCAACGAGCCATCCTGACTCTTCATAGCGGTAAGGTTAACGTTTTGGGGGCCCGAGATGCATCGAGATACTGTGGCTAAAGCGCTAGTAGCGGTGGCAGTATGGCAATATCAATGGTGGTTGTCAGGACTCCTTGCAGGTTCTTCTCCAAATTACATTTGAGGTCCGCTCACACTTGCCTCGCTTGCGATTGGCGCGAAACCGCATGAATGGGGAGGGGGGGGGGGGGCAATTTGCTATAAGCTTCTGTATAGATGTTTTCCTCGTGGCCGCGAGTTCGTTCGGCTTCGTCGAATCAACCGTAATATACACCAGCAACCTTGCCAGCGCATTGGCACAGGTTGACACCGAGCGCAAAGTATCTGGGTCCGCTGAGTGCAATGAGTTTGCAATATGAAGAAACTTCAAGGCACGCGCCGTGTGACGCACGCCATCGTATCCTCTCCGTCGGGGCGGAGTCGATCACAAGAGCTGACTGTGCGCTACTGCAATCGCGGGTGTTGCTGGCTTGACTGGTCTTCCGATCACAGGTGGTTTAGAATTTTGGATGTCGCTATAGAACCTTGGCGGAGTATTTTAGGGTCGCTGTCTGTCGATTGTGACTCCTGAGGTGTCCTTTGCTGCGGCTTCGTATTTGGGAGGCGTATTTGATACATGGAGACTAGAGCTTGGTTTCCTTGCTGCTTCAAGCACACTAGCCAAGTGTACGCTTTAGCATTTTGGAGGGACGTTAGTCTGGACGGTGATTAAGAGAGGCGGTCATACTCACTTTCTGAGGCCTATTGTCTTACGAGAAGGTTAAGTGACACCAGCGTCTATGAATCTGATCTGTGACAGAGTGTCTCGCCGATAAGTTGGAGATAGGCTGGGACAATACCATTATAGCCTCAGCACTAGGGCAGTTATAGGTCTTGTGTGATCCAAGGGGGGAATCTCGGCTGATCAGGCAGCTCATAGGCAGACATTGGGAGTAGCGGCACGGATGGCTTGAAGGTAAAGAATGAGGAGCACGATAGTAGAATTTTCCAGTTGCCGGCGCGTTCGATGTTCTCGGCAACCTACCACAGATTCAGCCCGGGGATGCTCACTTGCTGGATCCACGGTCGCATATGGCGTAAATATTTACTTACTCGAGTCCGGGTAAACAAAAATGCGGGAAGATGTTACAAGCAGCGTCATCGACGAGGAAAAAGCAAAAGGAAACCAATTAGCCCACCGCGAGGGTCGAACTCGCAGCCTTCAGATGCCTTGTAAGCCGATTCGCCTAGTAAGAGTCTGACGCTCTATCCGATTGAGCTAGGCGGGCTTGTTCTCACCCCCAAATCTTGCTATTTATTGCAAGAGCTCGAGTCACGGGAAGATGTAAGCGCGAGCGAAGCTATGCGCAAAATCTCCGGCAAAATTCCGTGCCTACTAGGAACATTTGTGCTCTTAGGTTGACAGGAGAGCAGAGTGTGCCAAGCGGTATGCTTGGTGGCAGTCGAGCGTGATGTGCAATATTAGTGCGTGAGACGTATAAGGACCCAGTAGGTTTATGAGAAGGCGTCGTTGACAGTGCTCGCGCAACAGATCTGCGCATGCAAGATGCACGAATACTCGAGATGTGGAGCGACGAGCGGATATCGATATGGCGGTGAAGAGGCAGGCAGCTCGTTAAAGTCGTTTGCCACCTTGGGGACTATTTGTTGTTGTTTGTCTTACATAGGGACGCGTCCAGCTCTGCTTCACAGTCTGTTCTCTTTAACTTAGGCGACCATCACTAGTAGCTGGTTTGCAGCGATGACCACCCAATTCGAAAACATCTACTATGGTGCTGGAACCGATGTTGGAAGTTCGTGTAATGTTTTACTGCCGGTTTCTGCACAACATTAACAAACGTTATCTCAAAGAAATTCGATTTGCTTCGAGTGGTATGGGTTGGAAGCAGCTGGAAGGCGATAAAACCGTGACGGTGTCTGCGGCTGATATAAAATGGATTCAATGGCTTAGGTACGAATGCTCATGTTACCACCGAATCATTCAGCTTAGCCTCACCACAATCGAGTACAGGGTGGCGCGTAACTTTCAGCTGAGAATCATCTTGAAGGAAGGCCGGCGGCGAGAGACGTTTGATGGGTTTTTAAGAGATGTAAGGTCCCTCTTTTGCGCGTCCTTTTCTGCCGCTGATATGACCCAAATCCTAAGGATCATGACCGAATTGCTGCCCTCGTTAAACAGCACTTTAGTGTTACTTTGGAAGCAAAAGAAATCAGCCATAAAGGGTGGAACTGGGGAGCGACAGATGTGCAAGGCAAGCTGTCTGCTTGCATCAAAATCAAGCCCCTCTCCTGACCAGATTTCTCTAATGACAGGCGATGACCTTGCGTTCCTCGTCTCAAATCGCACCGCGTTTGAACTCCCACTTGCTAATATCGCCAATTCCAACATCGCCGGTAAAACGGAGGTCTCCTTGGAATTTGCCAACGCCGATGGCGGCGCTAATGGCAAGAAAAAGGCGCGCGCTGTGGATGAGTTGGTGGAAATGCGGTTCTATGTTCCTGGAACCCATACTAGGGATGGTGACGATGAAGAACCAGACGAAGAGACAACCGCCGCTCAGGCATTCCACGATATGATCAAAGAAAAGGCAGAAATTGGACAGGTCTCCGGAGAGAGCATCGTTGTGTTCAAAGAGGTTCTCGTGCTTACACCGAGGTGCGCGTCCTGGATTTCTATTCATGCATGCCCGCTCAAATCGACTTGTGTTTCAACAGAGGACGATATGACATTGACATGTTCCCAACGTTTATGCGGTTCCGAGGAAAAACCTACGACTACAAGATTCTGTACACTTCTATCACCCGGCTGTTCCTCTTGCCCAAACCAGATGAAATCCATGTGCAATTTGTGGTACGTCTTCTATCACGGTCTGTCTTTGTATCAGCCACCCACTTATAAACTTTTTATATATAGGTCGGCCTTGATCCCCCGATCCGGCAGGGTCAAACTCGATACCCTTACCTCGTCATGCTATTTAGTCGGGATGAAGAAATGGAATGCGAGCTCAAGCTCGACGAGTAGGTGTCTAGGTTCAATTCTCAATTGTCGTCTACTTATCTTTCGAGTGAGGGAAACTATCGCGACAAAGTACAACGGTGCATTGCAGCAGAGATATGAACAGCCTATGCACGAAGTGGTGGCCGCTATCTTCCGTGGGCTGAGCGGTAACAAAATCATTGCGCCATCTGGCTTCTCTGGGTGAGCCATCTTATCCCTGAAAACTGCGTAGAGAGGACTAACGGTGCCTTCATCGAAGCCGCGATGGCCATACTGGTGTCAAAGCCAATTTAAAAGCCATCCAGGGAGAACTTTACCTCCTTGGTCAATCCTTAATCTTTGTTGCAAAGCAACCGACGCTTGTTGACTTCAGCGATATCCATCAAATCGTGTTCTCGAGGTATGTAGCTCGCGGATCATCCTGGAAGTTTGCTAAGTACGCGTGCACCGCAGAGTTGGCGGTGGTATGAGCCATGCCCGCACATTTGATCTAAAAGTCTCGACAAAATCCGGCTCCGAGATAACCTTCACATCGATCAATAAAGAAGAGCATGAACCGATTGAATCGTACCTCAAGGGCAAGAAGGTTCGCACAAAGAACGAGATGAACGATGACATGATGAGCGGTGTCGTTGCTGCGTTGAGTGATGAAGATGAAGAGATGCAAAGCGTCGCTTCGAGTGGGGAAGAGGCACCACAGCCTCGATCAATGAACATCGATGATGACGATAGTGAAGACGGTGCGTTCCAGGGTAATGACCGAATTGCTGGCCTGTGATATTGATTGCTCTGCCTATTACAGACGAGGACTTCCAAGCGTCATCCTCTGATGGGGGTTCGCCGACAGGCAGCGACTCAGAGACAGATGAGCCTATATCAGATCAAAGCGGAGATATGGAGATGGTCAAGGCGGGGAAGAAGAAGCTAACAAAGAAGAAATCGGATGTCCCAGGCGGCAAGGAGGGAAAGGACGGCGCCAAAGCGGCCTCAGCTTCGGCGAAGAGTGCTCCGAAGAAGAAAGCAAGTGAGAAGAAGGCCGGAGAGAAGAAGGCAGCGGGGAAGAAAAAGGACCCCAGTGACGACGAGCGACCAGCGAAGAAGAAAGCCAAGAAGGCATGATGTTCTCCACTGTCCTGTACTTGTCGTCTTGCGTTTCCATCGGGTTTACTTACCTTACAAAGTCCGTTTATGCTAGCTGTTTCAATCCTGAATGTTGATAGCGCATATTTTCAAGGGGTTGTTATGAGCCCGCCTAGCTCAATCGGATAGAGCGTCAGACTCTTAAATAGGCGAAAGCTTATCTGATATCTGAAGGCTGCGAGTTCGACCCTCGCGGTGGGCTAGTTGATCTATCTTTTATTTCTCTTCTTTTGCCCAGTGGTGTGGCCGTACTTGAACTTTATGGTGAGAAAACACGTTTACCTGACGTGCAGGTGTTGTTTGATATGACACCAACTCAACGTTTGCTTTATACAAAACTCGCTCGACATGATGGCGGCTTTACCATCACTCGTCCAGTACAGTAGCTCTGAAGATGAGGCTGAAGATAATGTCCCGGGCGGCACCAACCTCTCTTCGAAACGAGGCGCTAGTTCAAGTGCATCAGACTTAAGCGTGGTTCATCCAGCGTATGCATGCTCAATCTCGCTCGTCTGCATGATTATATGTCCTATCTGGCACCCCACAACTTCAGTAGCGCTTTACCAGCACTCCCCGTTTCATTTTTATCCCATAGTGAGCCCCGCATAATATATCAGATACGAGATAAGTGAAGCTGAGTATACCAACAGTTCCAACCTCTGACCCTACCGCGCACCAAGGACGGCGGAGATTACAGCCCCATGTGGATGGGCAATTCGCTGCACACGTCTACATATCGGTCCCTCTAAACCGAAAGACGTTTAGGATACTCCAAAATGCACTGGCGCTTGCGAAGGTTGAAGTGCCTGAGCTCTATTCGTTGCTTGGCGAGGGCGAAAAATGTGACCTTCATATATCGCTCTCGCGACCCATATATCTGCGCGCGCACCAGCGGGAGGAGTTCAAAAGGGCGATACGAACACTCGCTAGCGAATCTGCCCCGTAAGCTCTATAGCGTCGCATTTGTCGTTGGAGCTGAGTACTAGGTTTATCCATTTTGAAGCTTTATAGCATCCTTTGCGTGTTTCACCTCATTCACTAACGACGAGCGCACCAGAACATTTCTGAGCTTAGAGATAGGTGCTGGGCATTCGGAAGTTGAGCGTCGCCGCCGCTTGTACTAAGCCGCATATATTAGAGCTCACACCTTTTTCATGCCTTCTTAGCTTCGGCGTCTCTCCAGCGCATTGACACCCCATCTCAACTTTCTTCACCAGAAAACGTATTACGATCAGCCGCGATTCCACGCGTCGATTGCATGGGCACTACTTCATTCTGGAAATGATACGAACGGAGATGCATTCCCTAGTATCCCAGAGTTTCCGCCTGATTTTGTGGAAGGCTTAGAGGACAAGATGGGCAAAGACATTCGCGCGGTGGGGAGTTTGAAAGTAGAAGAAGTAGAAGTCAAGATTGGTAAAGAGGTCAAGAGATACAGTTTAGGCGGGTCGTTGTCCTAATCGTAGCATCCTGCGTGCGGTGATCGGTTGGACTGTATTCGTGGGGTACCAGTGGGGGCATCTAACTTGTAGACCTCGCGTTGATAGGTGTACCCTGGACGCTGAACTTTCCCAGGTGCTCTCGCTATTCACACGTCCTCTTGGTGTATCAGTTTCATTGAGTAAATTTCTTCATTGACCTATGTATGCACAGGAAAGGCCGTGGCACAACGCTTATTGGCACTGCAAAGGAGCGCGGTTAATACGATGACTTGCGATGGAGGGCGAATATGCTACGCACCTGGGAGTACCATGGGGGCGAAACCTCGACACACTTGAATGGGCTGACGCAACCCGATGGACCGGTCCATCCGTTTCCACCTAAACACATGTCAGTAATCTAGGCAAGGGAAAGTTGAAGATCGTTTATGTGACCAACCGCATTGACCTATGGGAAAAATGAATTGGTCCGAGCGCCATGGCGTAAAAATCGTTTGTAGAACACCTACCGTATTGAGTCTGAAGAGGCGACTGAGAAGCGGTGGTAGTGGTGACTGGTTTCGAGGTCGAGCCAGGTGCAGTTGTAGTGGGTAGGGTAGTTGTTGGTGGCTGAGTGGTACCAGTGCCGCTACCGATAGCCGTGTTGATAGAGCCAGACTCGATCTACGCAGAAGCTCAATTAGATTCCGGACCTTAGAGGAGGGCGAGAAAGGACATACGAAGACACGGCTGATATACCAGTCCTCAGGTGGGGTTGTCGTGCCCAAGCGGAGTACGCCAACGTGGAAGTCGGCAGAGTTCTGGTGCGTGGATTGTTATATATAAGCCGAGTCAAAGCTTCCTTTCGGATAGCACTCACTGTGAAAGTGCTAGTTCCAACAGGCTGGACGACTTGGACCAAGGGGTTGCCGCCTGTGCTTGCCCACAGACTCACGGTGTTGCCCGAGAAGTTGATGTCGTACGCGAAGTTGTACCTATATCTATGATTTAGCTTTAAAGATTTTAACATAAAAAACCTTGACTCCATACCAGACCTAGAAGGAGAGTGGGTCAGAAGGTGCCAGTACTGGCGAGGACACAGGCACTTACATCGGCTTGGAAGGGTGTCGACCACTTCGATGAACCGCTGACGAACCATTGCAAGTCGGTCTTGGTATTGCCTACACCATACTTCAACTGTTATGGGCGAATCAGTGATCTGGCGATGACGGATGGGAGGGCGATGTTTAGATTTACCTCGGTGAAATGAGACTCGAAGAACAAGACTTGGTGCTCGAACGAGGGCTATAGTAGAAAGCGCATAAGCTTCATGGTAGCGAGGGCTTGTGTGTGCCGTTGCTTACGTCGGGGGCGTTGGTTGTCGAACGCTTTACGGAGAAGTGATAGAAGAGGCGACCCGATCTAGAGCAACGCAGTTAGATGCCAAAACCGACATCAATCTCGTGACTTCAACGTACCCCAAGTTCGCGGTGGTTTGCGGGATGAGCTCGGAGCGTTCCCTGCCCGATAAAAGGAGCTCGTCAACCCGAGGCATGGCTATCCATTTGATCATGATTAACGCACATATCAGAGTTCCAGTGGGCAGTGGAATCAATAGTCAGCTTCAATCCTTGTTTTTCCCGAGTGACGGCAGGATTTTTGTAGGAGGCACCGGTTGCGAGGTACCTCGATGTTGGCTGGGTGCCGTGGATGTACCTGTGAAGCAAAAGCATGGGCCTAGGTTCACAGCCAATCCGGATGGATGGAATCCGAGTGCCTACCATTGGTACGCGCCGACTTGGTTGGCCCAGGTCCACTTGTCAAAGTCGGCCGCTGAGTTGTACGGGTCAAAGCTACCGTCCCAGATGACAGTTCCAGCTTGGACGAAGCCAGAGAGGACGGATAGAGCAGCAAATGCACCGAAGGCCTTCATGTTCACGACGAGGGGTGTTTTTGTTTTACTTCGACATCCACGCCTGGCTGGCCTTTTAAACCGTGCGAGGTGGCATTTGGTGTGAGTCCATGAGAGATTTTAGCACATTTCCGAGCTCATCGAAATGCGATGTTTAGCCGTATGAATGGGGAAGTTGCTGGTAGGGATCCGCAGAGCGGGGGATAAACGTCGGGAGCTAAAGCGGAAAAAACAATCCGAGGATCTCCACGAAAGAAGACAAGTCAAGCATCGTCTTCTAACGCGGGGCCCACTCGGTAGTATGTAAACGCAAGTTGACCATGAGAAGATGTGGGGAAACTGCGCGTATAAGTACGGCGAATAGCACTGAAAAGCGCGAAGTTTTGGCGTCAGAGGACGTTGGTGAAGCCTAGCGTCGAATCGGAGGAGAGTACGAGTGGTATGAGATAATCTCGCTCCCGGGAGAAGTGGGCTGGGTGGAAAGTTCAGAAGCCTATGGCTTCACAACTGAAATGAAATCACGAGAAAGGTCAAAACCCTGGCGCTATGCAAGGGGTATATTGCGTATAGGAGCCTGATCCTCGTGATCGCGCGCGCTGATGCCAATATTGCTAGAGAGATGATCGCACTGCCTTGCACTACCTCGCCACGATGAGTGATTAAGCAAACGCAAGACTCGACGAGCGGGTAGTGTTCTCCTGCGTAGAGTCATACAGAGTGAGCGTGATTCAGAGTTCAAAGGAGTAGTACAAAGCAAGAAAGCGACAAGAAAACACAACAAACAAAAGGAACGCGCGAATCTCCAAGAAGATTTGACAAGGTAATAGGACAAAGCATCCTTAGTAGTACGCTTCCCACAGCGACTTTCTCCATTTCTCTACAAGGGCCGGGTCGTCCTGAGTACAAGAGAATCCCGTACGTCCGATGTTACACTCGACTTGTGATCATATAACCCAAAGATGTCACTCGCCTTGTATTTGGCTTGGAACTCGGAGAAACCCCCGCGTAGGATAAGGACCTCTTGTGTAGGCTTATCCTCCGACTCATGGAGGTTGCGACTTGTCTCCGCGTATATCTTCAGGTACATGATCGTTAGCTTGGCCCTCAAGTTATCAAAGTTTCATAAAAGGATACAGACGCGCGCAGATTTAGGCCCCCTGCCAGGTTAGGTACATAGAGTTAGATGCGTTCCCTTGAACATCAATAAGACTTTGTGCACTTACCGAGCCTGAGAAAGCATGCAATGGAATACAACTTTTGGAATTCCCTTGGTTTTTTCAACCAGACCATTGACATCCGATAGAAAGACGCTTGACGGCGACCGAACACAGCCGACAATGTTGCCACCCTGAGCAAGGAATATTGTCCTGGTCAAATTGTCAAGATATTGGGCAATCTCGGGATTTATAACTCACGATGAAGTCATCATCCCTCACATCGACGATTATGTAGTCCTCGTTGGCCTTCTTCGACCGCATAATCTCTACCAGCTCCTAAAAGTGGGGGTTCCTTCAGCTTGTTGTGTATCTGAGAGATCGTACATGATACATTTACCTCTCGACTGATATAGCGAAGCGAGGGCTGGCTCGACATACTTATTGGTTCACAACACGAATACTGAGTGACCTGGATTTCAGAGACGAAAGAAAAAGTTGAAATCGATGAAGAAACACAAGGTGATTCGAGTATCAGACTCTGAAATCAGAGCCTCGCGGCGGTGTCGCTTCGTGTTCAAGGTGCCGAATCAAGCCACTGCATGAACAAACTCCGGTAGCACCCGCGGGACTCGAGTCCAAATCCCTAGTGTGCTGCATCGACTCAATCAAATTCTAGCAATCAGTCCAATCGAGGATTTCGCAGTACTGCAAGCTG